CCATAAACTATTTTCGGATGACTCATTGTTTACAGCATAGGTTTCAGGGTTGTTTGCTTTTTAAATAGCGGTCCCTTCTTAACTTAAATGAACTTTGTTTATGCCTGGAGTTTATGTATAAATTAGGATGATTTCATCGTAGACTCGTTGTTTACAGAGTTCGGTTGGCTCAAAGGGTTAAAAAACAACAAATAGGAGAGTAACAGAAAATAAAAATTGAAATTGATAATACATATCGTTTAGTTCTTAAAATGAAGGATGCGTAAGTTGAAGACATTTTTTAAAATAAGACTTGATATTAGATGTTTTAAGTTACTCCAAGTCCAAAACAAAGTTGTTTTAAAAAATACCAAACTGTTGACCTTCCCTATTAATGAAGTTCTCTTTTATTTTCTAAATAACTCTTTTGTTGGTATGACCATACGATTGTTGAATATGATAAATAAACGGAAATTGATAACTTACTCTAATGTTCCTGCTCAAGATGTTGAAAGTTCTTACCTGCAAAATAAAAATTACTAATTATAATCAAACAATAATCAAGAAAAACTATTTCTATTTTGCCCTCGGGCAGTGGAAGGAATTTAGTACATGTATATATTGTATTATTGTATACTATATATGTAATTGTTTCAATAAACATTTTGGAGGATAAGAAAAAAAAAAAAAAAACTATTTCTATTAACAAATAAATTCAGAATATAAAAAAAAAAAAAAAAAAAAAAGAAGGCGAAAGCATAAATTAAATTATTGTTAGAAAATTCCAAATAAAGACCTCATTATGTCAAGTATCACTCGAAGAGTAAATCAATCCGAATGTATACTCTACTCCACAAGGTAGCCTAATATATTAGACCGTTTATGAGAAATGCATTAGCTATATTTCGTTAATTTGTAGTAGGCTGTTGAAGTGAGATGTGTTATCTGTGATCATTATTTGGAAAATATCCCTCCCCAAAAACAATTAACTATTTCTTTAAATATACTTTATACATTTTTTTTTTAAGTTATCACTAAGAATAGATTAATAACTGACGACTGGGTTCTGAGTAACCTATAACTTAAGGATATTGACAAAGGTATAAGTTAGAGGGAACCGGTTCCTGACAGCGGTGGAACGGTGTGCCCGGTTTTGAATAATGGCCAATAGCCGACAATGAGATGAATGAGAGGTAGATCATCGGGTTCGCCGAACCCTCTTCATCCATTAGTCGGTTTGGGCTTGGATCCAATTGTTCCATCGCAGCAAAACGGGTGGAAGAGCAACCGTCTGTTTTGGAGATGAATAACGTAATAGAAAGAAAACATATAATTCTACCCTAGCAGTTAGAGTAATTGATCATGGTTGATGAAGACTAAGGTGTATTACAGAGACTCCTAAATGTAATTTAGGCTGTAGAAGCCAAATACTCAGCACTGTTGTATCATATTCAGAGGGATTAGCATATTTCAAAATTATTTAATAATTTAATTGAACAGTTTAAATCTCTTCTTCCTCCCTCGGCTTTTACACAATTTTAGTCGTTTTCGTCCACAACATTATAACATTGTCAAAGAATTAAAATAAATATAATTACAATATTGTATTGTTGTTTATAACATACAGTCAGATCTTCAAAATTTGAGTAAGAAACACAAGGAGCCTCAAAACTTACTCTTCCACGTGCCTAAAAACAATATACCTGCGTCAATGATAAGATATCGAGTAAGTAACAAATTTGGAGAGAGAAGCTAGAACCAGCCCTCCATAAAATAATAGGAACTTTATTCATCCATTTAAAATAATATTCTTCCCAGATTATTTTAAGACAAAATATATTGAACTGCATAATTTCGTGCACTAGACGCCGAATGGAAAGTTAACCGGATCTAAATGGTATTTTGAGCATTCCTTCTCTACCTCAGAAACAAAATCCACACCAGTTATCAATACTATCAACCTAAGATATCAAAATCCACACAAAATCCGTACTGCTGGTCTGATAAATATAATTGAACTCTTGCAACGTGTAAATTTCTTTGCCAGGATTAAACATGGATTATTAGAAACTAATCAATGCTAGATAAACAAATAAACATCTTATGAGTAATTCGAGACGCAAATGGGAGAACCTCATAAGATCTTAAATGGGAACTTCCATTTCAATAGGGTTCAATAGAGCAAAATCTCCAAGCAATGATTGTTGGTGTATTTTGCGTTTTTATTAAAAAGTATAATATGAAGAAGATCCTCCAAAATCATGAATGATTAGCACAAGTCATGACTTCTACCTTGAGGGTGGAAAAAGGGACAAAACTGAGATGAGGGCTTGAGATGAAAGAAAACCGCAAATGGGGAGCGTAGGTTGGGGGAATCCCTGGAGAGTTCATCTGCTAACAATAACCTCTACAAGAGGATGGCTCACCCTCCTCAGGAAAGTTCCTCAGGTATGAAGCAGGAACTGGAATAGCTCTAGCAATTATCAATTAATCGTCCAGTCCAAGAAATTACCGTTTAAGGATTTAGCTTATCTTCAATTGTGGTCGGTTACGGATAATTATGGAAGCCTAAAACGGAACCCAGGCTATCATTAACCTTCAATATTATCCACTTTCCTATCAAGATTAACTAGTCACGATAATATTCCAACTGTTAGTCACCCCATCCTTGATGGACATCATTCTTACAACAATACCCATAACCATATCTATAATTAAGATACAGAGAATTCCTATAGAAAAAAAAAATTAGGGATAGATAGAGCAAAGGGGTGAATTAAAATAAATCAAGACCTTCAGATTTTAAAATATAATTTAATTGTAAAAATAGATTATATGTAAAAAATAAAATTTAATCAACGTCTGCTGTTAAGATCTATGACAGCATTATTATGAAAAGCTACTGACTTATTCTCACACCTTCCCAAAACCAGCAAATAATACTTATAAATCAAAGGTATGTGTTAGCGTCCATATTTAACACGTTTTCAGTAACATATTAAATTTAAAAAAATTAGCTATATCAAAATTGCGGTAATCAGAGAACATTTTAAAAATAAAGTTGTATACAAGAAAGTAAAAAAAACAAAAACAACACAGGAGTATTTAGTTAAACAACAAATGTTGTTTAAATGTATACAAACCACTACTTATCTACTATGTATGGACAACACAAAAAATGACAAAGAATTAGAATGGTAATTTTCTTCAGTCTTATTTTTTTTTAATTTGACGTCAAGTTCAATGAAAAAAACATAACAGTGTTCCAAGCCAACCGGATCAAAATCAGAATTTTCCAATATTTAATAACTAAAATCTGAAGTCAGATTCTTACTTACTAAAATCTGAACTTAGATTCTTACTTACAGATTCCAAAATCTCAAATATATCTATCTGTTGACAAATTAAATGATTCCTGACTGTCGGGTTAACTATATTTCAATTCCTGAACCCTCCTATAATGAAGGGACTCCTAATATAAGCTATTAGAACATTTTTGATTTTTAAAAAGTCCAAACTGTAAATCTTTATCATTTACTAGCTATCTTAAGAACATGATGACTAAGCACGTTGGACGAGAGTTCCAGAGTGTCTGGTTCTGAACGTTTTGGGCTCGCTTCCCAGCAGGCTCAATATTTATATAATTAATATTTATTTCTCGGCGGCTCTACTAATAAATAAATGTTTATCGTACCGGCAATCTTTATCTAGAGTTGGCAAAAGGATCCACAAGACCCACTAGTCGATCTAATTTCTCCACCAATAAAAGTACCCGAACCAGTCTTATAATTTCTATCACTTGTTTATTCCACTAAATAAATTGTAGTTCCTAAAATAATTAAGTAAAATTGAAATAAAAATCTATTCAGAAACAAATTGTATATTTTTGTCTTTCTTTCTTTTTTTTTTATTAAAAAGAGGAAAAGAATAAAAATATTGTAATATAACCATGTATGCACACAGAAACGCATATTTCAGAGAAAAAAGAGAAATGGTTGTGATATGACGTAGACACCTAATAAAGTCATCCAGTTTCCCTGAACGACCCATTTGCACTTCGTCATTGCTTATTTTACCTTCAACATCAGCGCTCCTTACCACAATGTCCTATGACAGCTGTGTCCAGGATACTTACGATTGTACCTGGAATTCTGAGTCATATGTTGTACTATTGTATATATTTACTGTTCGAAGCAGGAAAAATTATAAATATAGGTCCTCTTCCATTTATATCTGACCATTCCTAAACAATGAATAAAGAATAACTATTTTTTTTTTAATCATTTAACCTAACAAAAAAAAAAGTTATTTATAAACTATTTACGAAGGGTCAGTTATAATTAGAAGAGGAAATATATTTATAATTTTTCCTGCTTCGCGACAGAGATGTATACAATCGTGATAGTACTATTATCATAAGTATTATGGACACAACTGTCATAAGACATTATGGTAAGAATATATATATATATATATATATATATATATATATATATATATATATATATATATTTATATATATATATATATATGTGCTAATAAATAAAAATTGCAAAATTTAATTATACAAAATTATCATTGTCTAAACTTGCTGCGGTCGCTAATGATAAAAAGACCCTCCTCACTGGGTTTCTAATGGGGAGAAAGAAAGAATAAATATTTAATTTCTTAAAGATAGCAAACTCATTTAATGCCACCGTAGAACTATTATTCTATATCAAAATTACCCAGTTTTTATGCAGGTTGCATTACGCTGCGAAATTTAAATCCGAAATAACATAACAAAATATCAGTATCTTCTTAAATCACATCTGAATTAATGTATTAGTATTTCATAAGCCGACCCCTAATGAATGGCAAACATTTGGACGGATCAACAATGATTCACGGAACAACTTAGCGATAAATGAGTCATTAGAGATAATTCTATAACTACGGGACCACCCCTATGACATATTCAAAAGAGGGTGGCTTTTGAATGGGGTGAGTGAATCATGGCACATGACGTCACTTGTATTCACTCACCGCAGCATTGTGTCACGTGGGATGGTTGCCACCGTGCGGGTCTCATACCCGCAACCAAACACAGTCACACCGGCCGGGATGTTGTCACCCGAGCCCGCAGGTCGTGGCGATACTAGGTGTGACCCCGCCTGATAGAGGTGCATACCGAAAGGTGACAGGAATAGCAACATATGCGGCCGCGTTGATGGCATACGATCCGATGATTCATGGCACATGGCGTTTATAACGACCCTGTAAACAAGAGCCTCTCGGCTATTGGCAGCTCCGTCTGGAATGCTTGGAACAGATCGGCAGGTTGAGTGTCCTAGGCACCCTTTGGGACTCCTGAGCAAATGCCAACTGTGCAATTCACAATTGAGATTGTATTTATATAATCAGATAACATTTTATACATACGATAACAGTTAAGATCAGTATGCCCTTAACAATTAAAGTATTCGCTTTTGGTTCGCAATATTTACAAAAGTTGAATTATTTTTATGGAGCACAGAGAGAATATAGAAAAAAACGACAAAAAAGTACCACTACAATCCATGAAGTGTCTTGGGTTCAATACTATTTAGGGAATGTACTGTTTCTGGGTCAACGTTCGTGGAAGGAGGTGATTTAACCAAGATCAAGTCCAACCGCCATGTTTCTACTCTTAATTAATTAAGGATACCCACTTAATAAAGGCTGGGTGTGCCCTCGAACCTGAGTTTTAAGCTACCCCACTATTAAAGAAAACATGACTTAACAACAAAAATAAATTGAAGGGATTTTTTAAATTATCTATTTTCATTTTGTTAGAAGATAGCATATCATTTAAAAATTTATCTGGTAGTAGAAATTCAATAATTGCCAATAAAGTATATTCTCAAACTGCAAATTTACTCCATTTACTCTTTGCTTACGAATGTAGTTAGGTATTTTATAAATTTTTTCTGGTAAATATGTATATTCTGTTGAAAAACCAAAAACAAAACAAGAATATAAAATAAAATATAGTCATCAGATAAATCCCAAACAAAACATTATCAACGTAACTATCATAGACCAATCCGGTCCAACCATCAGCTATAGAGTTGAACCAATCTACCATTGACCAGTATTAAATCAACAAACTTCATAATATATAAGATTACTTGTTTTTTCTTTATTCACCTTTGACCTTTTATTCGTATTTTAATCTAATGAATGAGTACATACTCCAAATAAGGAAGACTTATGGCCCACCTAATAGGTGGTCTAATCACCGGGTGGTGACCTGGTCATTTGATGGTTTCAAAATTTAAATGTTAATATTTCCGTTTCCAAAGAAGTCAATAAGAGCAATGCAAAATAAAGCAATATTTTAGAAAATTGATATCGATCAAAACAACGTTCCTATGAACTCTGGAAAGTTATTTTCCTGGACCACGGTCTAAAATGTTTTGCAAGTTCCTGCCGTTTCGTAATAATTTAAGACATCATGTCCTAAAATTATCGTAACCCATTAGTCATGAAATAGTTAAATGGCGCCGTGCCGACCGTCATTTGTGAATCACTGCAAGCAGTTTCGCTTTCAAAGGTTCTGCGAAAGGATGATGGAAGGCAAACCACTTCATCAAGCGAACATCAGGGAGCAAGTAGGTTTCCGCATACTAATAATAATAATCATAATGCCAGGAAATAAATAAATAAATGCAGAAAACATTGAACGTGTAAATGTCATAACTTTTTTTAATAAAACCAAAATAACTTGAATACCAACAACAGGGTACGAACTATTAAAACGGAGTAGTGAACTGAAATTATTTGTCAATATATCTTGGAAAAACAACAAGATAATTTTGTCAGACATCTTTCAGTTAAATTTTGCAAACCACCACTGAGACGAGCCTTTTAGCATATTGAAACCGACTAAATAGAAGACTCTTTTTTCCACTATATGCTCCTTATACAAAATACCACAAAGAGAAAGAATTAAAAACGTAGTTTATACTGAAGTACTGCAAATTTTCTATAAATATTTTAAAATGTAACTTGTTAATAAAATACCTTTGTTAATTAAAAGCCAACAAACTAAAGGCGCTGGCTTTCAAGAAAACTCTAATACATATTTAATCAACCTACAATTTTTACTACCTACAAAGTCGTTACGTTGAAGACAACAGGGTTGCTTGATGTCAAGTATTCATAAAGCTCACGCAGAAAGGAAAAACCGGTTCATTCCCACATTTTGGGACAGCTTTTATTTTTAGTATCTTGTTGGACAAAGGCTCTCAGAAATTTATTAGCATAGCTGAACATTTCAGATCTGATAACACGAGTTTTCCATGCAAAAATTATAAATATAGATTTTAAACATATAACCGGAGGATCATCATACATAATTTCCAAGTTTCTAAAAGTTCGCATCCAAGACAAACAACAAACAAGACAAACTATTTTCAGGTGTATTATTAGGGAAAATAGTGCTATTCGTTTATTGAAGAATGTAAAGGGTATTAATGCCTTATATTACTTCCTCAAAATAAATTTGCTCAAAAATTTGTTTTCATGTAATCCCATCCCTTTTAACACGAGTAAGTTTTATTTGGATTATGTCGACTAGTTTTGAAAATATATTACCATAAGCACTTGATAGATATTATTCATCCAAAAGATAAGAATCTGCTCTAGCCTATTGAATACTGAATACATTAGAGGGCCCAGCAGTGCTCTTGATCCTTGCAGTACCCCTTGATCTCCAGCTGTCGTACCCTTCGACACCAGCGTCTAACCCCCTCAGGGTGGGGGAGGCGGTATCTCATTGACTCAGTTTATAGTGAGCATAGGTTTGTAACGGTCATTGTGCACCAGCGGTCATTGTCGATTGAATATAATGAAAATATGACTCAGAGAAGAGGACCCCCAGATTTGAATTATTCTAATTGGCTGGGGGTGACGCATCAGCTGACTACACACACACACAGATTTAGCCACCCTTCTGGGCTATTAGCCCCCCTTTATCAATTTTTACACTTAATAGTCCTCCATTACAAGGGTAAACCTCCCCTAATCCAACTAGCAGTCTAGTCGATTTATTAGTTCGAGTGGCCACTTCTGCTCCTATTTTCTATTTTTGGTCCAAATTTTTGCACCTCATGATTTTTTTTTTTTTAACTCAAAAATAAGATTAGGAGAACATTTTCCAAACTATAATACATCATTCGTGTATTATTATTATTAGTAAATATATATAACGAATATCTAAGTTAGATAATGATAATAAATATTTGATATATACATGCCCCATCAACACAAATCTATATTAGGCTTTTTTTTAAATTAAGAGCAATTTTCAAAATAATAAAATTTCATTCATTGAATTTTTTATAAGCAAGTTTGAAGTGTATTGTATATTGTAAGATTAAAAAATTAATAAGTTCTACATATATAAGGTTTTTATTAGTGCTGAGGTTTCAACCTAAACACGTGGGTCAGGTTCGAGCACTGAAGATATTCATGTGACTTGAAGTGACTCATGGCCTAATGATGACCCACATGTTTGGGTTGAAACGTCGGCACTAATAAAACCTTATAATGACTGCATCCTAAATATTTATCACCCATAGTAAATACTTAAGTTTTTCAAAATATCATAGAGCTCTTTCCATCAGATAAACAGTTACTTTCACTTTCATTTCCATATAGTCCAGGAAAATGAAGACAAATGGCGAAAATAAACTTTTGAAACTTTTGGACAAAGTTTACTCGCACCCCTTCAATTCGTTTTCTATTTTTTCTGGACAGGTAGTATTGTAAAACCAATTTTCAGAATACTAGGTGTAAATAAACTACCTGAATGGTTTTATTTATATGGCGTTTTGGGCACAGTTATTTTATTTTAAAATAATTTTGTTGTTTAATTTCTTTAAAATTCTTATTATAATGATAAATTAGAAAACTGAAGCTTTAACTTTCTTTATTCATGCCTACTTACCGTTATATTTGAATACAACAAGTCTATCAAGAACGAATAAGGAAGAAAAACGATTGACAAAGCCATTTCAGCCACGCCCAAGGTATGAGTAAGCAGTAAACAGTGTTGGCTTGTAACCTTATTAAAATCTCAATATTTGATGTATATATATATATATATATATATATATATATAAAATTATTTCAGGCTATATTTATATTTACTTGCAGTTGGTTTAGAATTTTTTTTTTTTTTTTTTATAACTATAATTGCTCTAGGTATAAGAAATTATATAAAATAATGTTTAAGCGATCATTGAAGGCTTTAAAAAAAAAATATCTGTGTACAAGAATAACAATGCTTTTAGTGATGATTTTTTTAATGATGCGTACTTACATTTAGTAGCTAAAATAGATGCGCTATAAATTAAAAATAACACATATTTTGTTTGTTTGATTATTTAGTTAAAGATTTCTCACAGAAATAAATATGGGCCGATGAAAAAAAATATTATTTCATTTTGTGGAGCGGGAGAAATTGAACCCAAAAGCTGGAACAGAGTAGGTTTAGTAGTAAAATAATGTTTAATCATTTAACGATAAAAAAAAAATTGTTTACAAGAAAAGCTGAAACAGAGTAGGTTTAGTAGTATCTCACTGAAGAAAATAAAATAAAAAATACAGAGATTAAGTTTTGAATATTTTTTAAAAAATCCTTCATAGGAGAGAAAGGATATAACTATATTCAAAATTTTTAATTCCCCAAATTACTGATATATTTACTGGTATTCACTTCTTCATTTAGTTTTCTTATATAAAAAGCACAATAAAATATGAGTTATTGCCATTCTCTCTTTATACTTTTTACATATGGGCGAAGTTTCATTAGTTATTAAGTAGACATGGTTATGTTCTATTTTGAGCTCTGTAAGCACAAATTTCAGGTTTTTTTTTTTGCATAATTGCGTATGTTATTATGTTGGTCAGGTACACTTCATCATGTGAAATAGGCAAGGAAAATTCAAACTTAACACGAGTGAAGTCGTGATGTACAGTTTGTGTTGTATAATATTTTGATTTAGCAATGTTTACCTAATTTCTTTACTTCGTTATGCTTATATCCTTGAAGGAATATAAATACAAAACGTATTGTAATCATTAACTAAGTTAATTCATTAACATGCGTACAAATACACAGAGAGTTGTTTATAATGGAGGACTGAGATGAAAGAAGACGGAGCAGGGAGCTGAGCGCGAAGGCTAGGTGCACGACCCTGCTATGACTCACCTTGGCAAGGACGTCACCTCCATTGTTGCACTCTTCCACAACTCTTTATATTCAAATTATTGTACGGATAGCCTTAATCACCTTTTGTAACCGCTCTTTAATAAAGTTCCCACGCCGTCTTCCCCCCCTCTCTCGAATACCGTTAGGGGAACCTTCCCCATCTTTGGCAGAACCGAAACATTCCAGTTCGCAAAAAACAAACAATTAGAGATGGATTCGAGATATGGAAGTTTCAGGAGAAATCTAGCTGGTTTACTCGATTCTCCTCTGAATCCATGATTATTAGTGATGGGTTCAAATCCTTCACACCCACAAAAAAAAAAAAAAAAAAAAAAAAAAATATAGCATTAATTTTGATTAAAATAAAGTAATACCCTATATTTCCTAGAAACCATTGAAAAGGGATGAAGTTGGTTGTTGTAAATGCTGTTTTACACTGCCAAGATTGCTGAGAAAAGCTTATTCCTAGAATTTAAAGTTATTTATGAAGAAAAGAATGCTTAGGGAGATCAGTCAGAAATAAAAGGCAAAAATAAATGATAATATTAATTTTGACATTTGCCGACGTTTCGACCTGAAGTTCAGGCCTTCATCAGGGCTAAGCAAAGAACATAATAAAAAAAGGTGACATAAGTATTAAAATGGTAACCTTAGAATAAAATGTAAAAACAGAAAAAAGGAATATGAAGTTATATAACAAATGAAAAACTTACTTCATATTCCTTTTTTCTGTTTTTACATTTTATTCTAAGGTTGCCATTTTAATACTTATGTCACCTTTTTTGATTATGTTTACTTCATCATTCCACACTTTGTAACGGTTATTATTATTTATCTCTTAGTTCTTACTATTGTCATTATTCTACCCACTTCATTTTACTTTAATTTTTTTACCTACATTATTCATGTTTCTACCTTGTTATCTGGTTCTTTTCTTAGCCCTGATGAAGGCCTGAGCTTCAGGTCGAAACGTCGGCAAATGTCAAAATAAATATTATCATTTACTTTTGCCTTTTATTTTTGACTGATCATCCCAACCATTCTTTTCTTCATTATTCACGAAAGTCAACCATTTACCATTATTAAAGTTATTATTTTTTTTGTTTATTAACGATTTTACAACTGTAATTAATAATAAATACAACAAGTAAATATGAACAAGTAATATGACATTAAAGTTATTTAGTTTGATTTTAACCAGCAAGATAGGTGTGTGAAATACCATAGACTTAATAAACGCTTTTACAAGATTACGTTTCTTGAACAAAGACGGTATTGCAGTTAATGTATTTTTTCCACTATGTGCATCAGGAAAGCACCTTGCAGCTTAACGTTATCGTTAATTCAACTCAACATAAAGGATGATAAATCATTAATGAAATATATTTAAATAAGTAAATCTCAAAGGTAAAAGAAAAAAAAAAAAACAGTGTAAATAAGGAACGTAATGTCGTTAGAGATTTTTTGTCTTTTAATACTTGAATCAATTTTAAAACATGGGTTCGACCCGACATTACTAATATTAATAGAATATAACGAAAAGTAGAGTTAAAATGACCATAAAACACGGCCACACAGCATGTTTCGAAGAATACAAAAAGAGAAGGAATAGTTTAGTAAAAAAAGTTAAAACAATTTGGTCCCGCTATCGAAACGAAACCCTTTTATACGTTATCTGTTTCTCGACCAAGATAAGTTTATACAATAAACTGGTTGAGAAACATACGTGTAAAAGGGCATTATGGATAAATAGTTCCTCACAATCCTCCTTTCATCCACATTCATAGACGAGTTTATATAAGTTATTTTACAGTTATTAAAACATGTTAAATAAACGGTTATCAAATCATTTATACTCTTCGTTCAAGTGAGAATACCTATGCAATAATTGCTATTCTACACCACCAGAGTTCAGTAGCTGGGAGCCATGCATTCTTATGCGGTTGGGGATGACTATTAATCACCGTGAATAATGGGTTTGAAAGAAACAGTTGACTACTGTGTTCTTCGAAATGTCATTGAGGAATACCTTTTGCAATGCATGAATAAAATAATTGCTTAACGTATGAGTAGAAAAAATTGTTTTTGATATTAAATAAAAAATAATATTTTTGTATTCAATAAACAGATTAAATATCATCAGGTTAACATGGGATCCTGGACTCCATTCTACAATACAGAATAAATAAAAAAAATCTGTTTACACTTATTTAAACAATTGTATTTAAATTTAAAATTAAATAATCCTTTTATAAATTATGAAACTTTTTTTGACTTAATAATGATTCTCTCTGGAGTAAGTTATGAACCATTGTGCGAGGGAACTGTAGAGAACTGATTGCATATCAGAAGCGACACCATTCTGTCAGACTGAAGGAGGACATGAAACAACACACCGGGCGGCTCGCTGAAATGTTAGGCAGTCCGATACAAGTGTACTGATAATGTCAAAGATGGTAACTCGACAAAAATAAACAATATATCTCTCCATTATTCAGGCAACAAACAGAGTCTGTTTGAATGCACTTCATCTCCAGTTTAATCTACTCTGTGGTTCCAACGAGTATAATGTGGGTAATAACTGATCCTTCATTTCGTCACGTATAAAATCTTATCGTAATTTGTATTACTAATTATTTTATTTTATTTTAAATTCTATTAGTTATATAAGGAATATTAGAGTTTTTTTAATTATTCTGAGAATTTCACATACTTATGAATGGCCAATTTCCATATTTGTAATTCAAGGAAACGTTATAATGAAGCTCTTAATCTTGTTACGTGAAAAACATTAATTTCTAAACACAACTGGTGACGATTCCTTCATGGACATCCATGATATATTTGTATATATACATATAATTTTTTTTTTCGATCAGCGTTACAGACCTTGAAAGATCTTTGACTGCGAGATGTTGTCTTCTAGACTACATCCCGATTCCTGATTTAAGTACATGGTGGTAGGGTCATCAGTCTTACGCCCGGTCGGTATGAGTTGCCTCCAGTAGCCTGACGGGCCTCACATACCATGGGGGGGGAGTATCTCGGGCAGCGTGGCTTTCCCTGGCGGACTGTTACCCAAATCGGGCGGTCATCCATCCAAGTGCTAACCACGCTCGGCGTTGCTTAACTTGGTTACCTATTGCAAGCGCCTCAGCCCAATAATGTGTATATATATATTATAATATAGTATAAGTAAACATACCATAATAGCTTATAAGCATGAAAAATGGTCAGGACGTGCTGTCAAAAATTTCTTTATTGTACTTCCTGACCATTTTTCATTCTTATAATTTCAACAGTCAACTATATACATACCCATTTATAGTATAACAGTTATATTTTATAAGATATACCAATTGATATGCGAATTCTAATATTATTACCGCGCTCCAATAACTAATATTTTTTTTAATAAGCCAATACATATTGCATTTTTTTTTTAATAATTAGGAAATAGAATTCTATGTTCATCACAATTTTTTTTCCTGCTTATTTTAAAGGAAATATGTTATATACATATATTTAAAGAATTTAAAAGTGAATACTTTAAAATCGTAATAATCTTAATACAATATACAAGTAATAATACAGTCTTAAAAAACAAGTGTGTTTTTATGATTGTGAAAAAGTGTTTTCGGCCACCATTTTGAAACAAAACGGCATATGGTAATGTCAAGTTAAGAGGATTATCCTCGGGTGAGATATCACATTGATAAAAACTCAAAGTAACACTCAATAGTCTTGGAAAAAAAGCCACGGACATCTTTCGAATTTTGAGAGAGTAAGCTAACTTTTTTTTTTCTTGGTCGATAACAAAGTTTCATTGTTGAAAATGATAAACTAAAATGGCTTTGGCCGTCAATTTCGACCAAATCACTAAACTTGAAATATAGGTAATTAATTATATGTTGAGTTTCTATTAAACGAAATTTTGAGGAAACTGTGATCATGTGTAGCACATGATTTTTCGGGACTCAAAGTGTATTTCAATTAAAAAGAGGGACGGGGAGGAGGGTACACAGACTTCCTAACAAAATCATAAAGTACCGTACTTCAGAAATGAAATATTTTATTTGAGAGGCATGAAGATGGTGTGTCGAAACGTCGGCGTAACCAATAAATACTGTTATATACAGTATTTAATTTGACCGCACCGCCGACCAACCCCTTCTCATATTTTATTTTATGATTTATAACTGATTCAATAAAACATTAAATAAAAATACAGACAATGTATATACAGCTTCTGTTTAGATATTTAAAGTTATTGTTCAGTTATACATCATATTGTCTTTAAAATAGACACCAATTGGAAGCTGATTCTGTTGTATACTTGGACAGCGCACTCCTATTTTCGCCAAAGGACCAGAGAGAAGGTCGCTGAGGTCGAACAAGCGGTAGGGAATGGACCGGTTTATGACTCAGAGACCAAGGGCGTTCCAGCAGCCTTCACGGCTCTTCTTAGTCACCTCGCCGGGGTAGCGATCTTTTGCACCATTGTCACTCCAATATCTTCACCATCTATCTGGAAGGAGGTCTTACCTCTATTGGAAGGTCTCAACAGCCATCTAAGGGTTCATCAACTTTCAAAATGTTGAGAAGAAACTCGCAAATGAGTTGATCCAAACAAGAACAATAAATACTTAAAGAATTGCTTAAGTTATTTCTTATTCTAACGCTAATGCCAATTTTAATAATGCTAGGTTTATTGAATACGCACAAACATGAAAGATATCTAAACAAAAATAAGATAATAGGAGGTAGCATTGCAAATAATTGTCCGATTTAGATAATATTTATCGATTTTATTGAGCCTTTCAAATAGTAATCTACAAAAGGGCCTAATATACCATAAATTGTATACTTTTTGATTTATTTGTTAATGAAGTTTCTTTTTCTACACAATCTTTTTCCTGAAATTTCGAGAGCATGTGCCCATTTCTCCAACCTGAAAGATTAGATAATCTTCACAATAGATTCAATCCCTAGATTCGGTAAAGAATTAACAACGACAAGGCGCAAAGAAAAAAAAAATATATATGAAATAATATATAATAAATAACATATCCTATAAAGTTATAGGATATGTTCATGCTCCCCTTTCAGACTTCATGATATATATCTAGTTACTGTGCACCTGTTGCATAATATTTTTATG